CTGCTGTCTGGGACTGTTGCAAAAGGCAAGTATGTATATTGTAAGTTTATTCCTGTTAGCCAAAATAAAAGAGGACTGGTTAGAAGAATTTTACTTTTCAGAAAAGTAGGTCTAGTAAATTAGTGCATAGTGGAGAGAAGCTGTGCTGGACTTTGATTTTATGTGTACTTATGTGTATTTGACTTCTCTAATATTAGAGTATAACAGAAGAAGTGATATTCTCTCTAATGTGCTACAAAGATGAGGATGAAGAGCTCTGGCAGGAGGATCCATATGAATACATCCGCATGAAATTTGGTAAATGTTTGTATTTAGCATTTATTTTCTGCTTTCCTCATAACTGTACACTATAATCCCAATTAACATCATGGCCCCTGTAACATCTGGGTCTTCACCAGTGTTCTGAACAATAGGGGAAAGAAAATTTGTTTCTTAAATCTCACCAATCTGTAGTTAAAAGAAGAAGGTAGATCACGCGAGTTTTGGCCATTTGGCTGGTAGCTTTAAACTAAATGATTCTCTTAACTTTTTTTTTCTACTTCACATGGGCCCAGTGCAGCCCAAATGGACTGACTTGCTCATTTTTTAATGCCAGTTTCAGAATCCTGAATAGCAGATGTGCCAGCTGTCTGCAAGTTCTTGCAGCTCTCACTTTGACCAGAAGAGGCCTGACTTGCTCTTTCCCAATTGGAAATTGTTAATGTCTTCAGGCTTTTTTTGCCAATTATTATTACTAAATTATAAGATAATTAGATATATGTATTCTTTCAGAAGACACAGTGCAAAATCTTAGGCATATCACATAGGACCATATTATGAATAATTACTTTTATTAAAAGAGTCATGTCATTGAAAAAGAGAAGGGTACTTTAAAAATACAGCAATTTTAGCTGGAAAATTCCAGCAAGCCAGTCACCACAGAGATATGTAGCATTTGGGAATTTTTAATGAGTTGATTGGGGATTAGCATATGTGAAAACAGAATTTACATGTTCATAGAATAATAATAATAAAAAAAAAAACCTAGGAGAGTTGTTAACCAAAAAATTAATCACGATATAGTGTTGATCACTGGGGTACAAATATGTTGCTGATTTTTGGTATATGAATTCAGTTCTTTCTGTGAAACTAGTGAAGCCTATTTTTGTGTGTAGCTGAGTCAGATTTAAATACAGATTTAAACTGTATTGTGGAAGGTAAAAAAAAACAAGCATGAAAGGACATTAAATTGAACTTCAGTGAGGCACATTTGGGTTTGGAAAAAGAATTCCAGTGATCTGGTAGTATTTCTTAATCATGTTTTATCTTCAAGTTCTCAGGAAAAGTTAGTGTGTAATTTTAACCACATTTTAAGATTACCTTTTTAGAACTTTTTATTTAATTTCAATTTCTGTAGGGATGTTTGGATTAGAACATGTTTGGCAGCACAGGTTTTTATTTCAAGATATAAATTATATTTTCAATATGATTAAAGGAGGTTTACTTGTAATAAATGAAGCTAAAAAGCTTCAACTTTCATCAGATTTAAAACTACCCCAGATCCAAGTCCATTTTACATAACAAAAAGTTTTCCATGAGGTTTTAATAAAATCAAGCCAAAATTGTGTACATATGGTATACAGATGGTACTGGAATGTATTGTTCTTCCTATAGTGGTTTTAATTTACAAAAAGCCAGAATTTTTCATCCCTTAAATACATCGTCTCAAAAGAATTAATGAATAACTAATGCATTCCTAATAAAGGGAATGATGAGAGGTCAGTAGATTTGGAAGACAAGAAGTAAATGCTTTCATAAGCTATATGACATAAACTTGAGTCTGGCTCTTTAATGAAGACAACGGTGTCTATAGTTTTGAAGTTACATATTCACCCTGCTTTTGTGATATCCCACAAACAAGATGATGTATAAAAAAATTATTATTGTGTCATTCAGAAAAGGAACAATTTCTTTTTATTTTTTTAAAATTTGTTAGATGTATTTGAGGATTATGCATCCACTACAACAGCAGCACAGAATCTCCTTTATACTGCTGCAAAGAAGAGAAAAGAGGTATGGAACTAGTGGTTTTTAATGATTTTAAGTTTTCTTAATAATGTTATTTTACGTTAAATTCGAAGATGCTACAGAAAGCTAGTCTTGAAAAATCTACTTGCTAATACATAGTCAAACACTTTCCTGGCTGAGTGCTATCAATTTGGGGAGAATGAAAATATATGTGAATAAATAAATAAATAAATGGATTCCTTGTGCAGCTTTAAAATTAACCTGCCGGATATGAACTGAGTTGGAATACATCTACTAGTATTTTCCCAGTTTTATAAGCAGCCTCTGTCATGGCTGTTGTGAGATTCCCAAACTGTAGCAGGGGAAAAAATGAACCTGATCCTTATTAATTTTCACTGATGCTATTTAAAGTCCTGTTGACAGCAATGAAATTAGCAAGAATGAAACCAGTTTCATATAGCTGCTCTTTAAATGAGGACCTAACTTTTCTGTAGATCTTTCTATACTTACAGTGATCAGTGCAAAAGTGCCAAGCCATGGAAAGCATATGTCAGTTTGCTGAAAACGCTGAACTTTTTTCTGCGTACCATTTTAGCATCCAGTAAACATGGAGAGCTGTTTCCAGATGGATTTTCAGAGAAGAGCATAGTCTTTATGTCAGGTGGAATAGCCTATGACCTTTCACTTCTTTATTGTCAAAACAGTGCTTGCCCGCTGACCTCCTCATTTTCATAATTTGTACTGAAATTGTCAAAATGTTGTAATATCTGAAAAGCACATAATGGGTGTGGAAGTGACATTAAACAATTGGTTTTGCCAAGAAACCTTTCCAAGTCTAGTCAACTTTAGAAGTTATTGCCAAAATCAATAGATTAATATAACTTTATGAGGTTTTAGTCCAAGCTGTCCTTGAATATGCATATGTTCATACATACATGTGCACACGCATACGTATTTATATATATGTGAGACAAGCCGGGAGAGAAGTTAAGGGAAAAAAAATGGGTGAGGTACTGTTTGAGCCTCTTGCCTTCTCATGACCTTTTGTAATTTGCCTCAAGACACCAAAAATACCTTATTTACTATTGCTGATGTGAAATTTCAGGGAGATTCATTTAATTTTGACAAGTTTGGCTGAAAAGTTGAAAAAGAAACCTTCTAAATTTTAACTATGGAAAGATGCTACACATAGTACCTCACAGTTGCTTTGGCCAAGATGAAATTTCTACTTAAAAATATCATATGAATTTTTTAACTTAATGCTATTAAAATAATTTGACAAAAGGAGGTTGTGTGTTTTCTATCTTGTATAGGTATTACCAAAAATGATGGCATATTGCTACCAGATTCTTACAGAGCCAAACATTGATCCAAGGAAAAAAGATGGAGCTTTGCATGTTATAGGATCCCTAGCAGATATTTTACTGAAGGTAAGTGGGTAAAGACTTGAAAAAGGTTGGTAATTCTTATTATCAACTGCCATTTCCAATAAAAAAGTCTTAGCTTATAAAGTATGGCTAACCTTTAGCCATATTTATAAAGTCTGTAGAGAGATTGCACAGTGCAGTAAGAATCTGAGGGTTTTTCTTTAAAAATATTACCATTCTTTCCTGTTTGTTATATTCCCATTTTATAGGCAGATTTTTCTTCTCAAGTTTCTCCAAAGCTCTTTTTGTTTGCTACAGAACAGTCCCTTGGTCCTCCCCTGCTTTACTAGTAAAATTGAAAGGTTTTAAAAAAGCAAACATGCATTCCATCAATAACATTGCCTATGATTCTTTAGCAAACTCCCTAACAGCCTGCACTATTGTGGGCTTCTTCTGGGTCCAGAAAAATGTTCACTTAACATGTTGCAGGAATGTTTTGTCTAGCTTTCCAGCTTTCTTACCCTACAATGTGTGGCTTTAAGTCTTATTTCATCAGCCAGTTGGGAGTTTTGAAAATAACTGGAAAGAGCACAGAGCTTTTATCCTTCCTCCATTCTTTATAGACAGTATCTACAGAATTCTGAGTATTTTTCTGGAATTTGAATACACATTTAAGCCACACTGTTGTTTTGTAATGTAATCTTGATTACAGTTTGCCTTACGCTTTTGTAGATGGTGGAATCCAAAGTGTACCCTCTCTCCATGTCAAAAGTAACTACCAAAAAGTCAGCACAGTTAGCATGAGAGTGGCGGCCTTGTGCTGGAGGCTTCCTTTTTAAAGTAATTTATTTTACTTTCTGTAGTTGTCTCTCTGTGCAGGATGTGTCTTCATTACAAGGCACATCTTGCCAACATATAACATCTACTTTTTACTAATGTACCAGTCCACGATCTGATCTGAAATCCTGAAACATGAGTAACTTTTGCAGAATTTTTGTAGATTGTGTTGCATTGTAAATGCCCTCCCTTCTACTGGTAGTATAGCAGTGAAAGAGGAAGACATTGTATGTATTGTGAGGAGCCTTTCATCTTGACTGACGGCTTCTAAATGCATTTATCTCTGTCCTGAGAGGGAAAAAGGGATTTATTCCAGTATACTGCTCCTATGAAAGCTGGAGAGGGACTGTTGACAAGGGCATGTAGTGATAGGACAAGGGGTAATGGCTTTAAACTGAAAGAGGGTAGATTTACGTTAGATATAAGGAAGAAATTCTTCACTAGGAGGATGGTGAGGCACTGGAACAGGTTGCCCAGAGAAGCTGTGGATGCCCCCTCCCTGGAAGTGTTCAAGGCCAGGTTGGATGAGGCTTTGGGCAACGTGGTCTAGTGGAGGGTGTCCCTGCCCATGGCAGGGGAGTTGGAACTAGATGATCTTTGAGGTCCCTTCCAACCCAGACCATTCTATGATTCTATGATTCTATTTGAAATTTTCAGTCTTGAAACATGAGGTTATAATATACTTTATAAAAGAATAATAATCCCCAAACACTGCAGACTTTTCTCAACTGTGAATTTGGGATTTGTGTTTGGGATTTGGCAGATTGAAAAATTCCATGAACTATTTCTGCATAGAATACTCGATTTATAAGTGCTTTCTGGCCTATGAGCTGACTGAGATAGAGATTGTAAGGAGCTCGTAGATGCAATGACCTTGCCTTAGCCACCTGGATCGCCACAGTGGCGCCAGTTTAGTGCATGCAAACCTCTGATTGTGTGCACAAGAGAAAATTCTTTTCCCTTCTCTGTTTTTTTTTCTCTGCTTAGTTCTTCATCTGCCTCCCTGAGAAAATGATGTATGCGTTAGTGAAGTAGAAGTGTGATCACCTAAGATACATTTTGTATTGAATGTTCCCTTTCACCCTCTTCCTATCTTAGCCACTGAATCCTTCCTTTAGCTGGTAACATAGTCCCCAGCATGTATCTTTTCTAGTATCCTGGGGCTATAGGTGTTAGGAAAGTCCCAGGTCTCCATGCTGGTGGTCCTGGCTTCCTGTCAATATCTTGGGATTTAGTAAGGTTGGAATAATGAGGGATAATATTCAGTGAATATCCTTCTCCAGCCAAAGAGATTTCTATCACAAAGGCGTTATCTTAGTTCATTAATAAACATGAAAAAACGATGTGAGTTACTATTGTAGTGTGTGAAATAATTTGTTTTGATGCTTATAGTAACAGTAGGTCATTTGAAACTCAGATCTATTTCATACTAAGCTGATATTGGTCTTCAGCTATGTATGTACTCCTTTGTAGGTAGAGTGGAGGTACTAGGTTATTTATCGTAATTAATTTTTAAGAAAAATCGCTGGAATCAATTGCCTTAAAGAAAATGAAAATTCCAGTTTACAATATTGTAATGAGTAACGTAGAGTTGAATATTTTATATACAGTTCTTTCACTTACCTGGCTTTGAACTTCCTATGCTTCTGAGTTTTGTTCAGCTCGAGGTACGATGTCCAGATATCTTCGTGAGAGAATACCTTTATTACATGGACAAGTCATTGTATTTCCATGGTTCGTAGTTGAAATGGATTACTGACTAGAATTAAGTATGTGAAATGAATGGTCTCCAAAATTAATTTTTATTTACACCAACAGAAGAGTGTCTTCAAGGATCAAATGGAGCTGATGTTACAGAATCATGTATTTCCATTGTTCATGTCTAACCTGGGGTACCTCAGAGCTAGAGTAAGTTCACCAGTTATATCAATTTCACTATTTGCCATGATTCTTTCCTTTGCAGTTTGACTTCATTCTGACTGTTAATGAAAGAAATAAAGCAAATACATAGTAAAATTTCAAATAATGACCTTGTGCAGTAATTTTTCAGCATTTTGATTTAAAAAATGAATTTTCAGTTAAATGAACTGATGGAAAGTCTGTGTTATATTATTCTTTACCTCTTTGATCAGACTGGAGAATTTGAGCAGTGGTTGTGGCCCTTTTGTGACCATTTTTCATTAGCAGATGTCACTAACTAGAGCACTTGGATGGCTGTGAAGAATAGGTAGGATTCCCACAGAGCAGATAATGTCAGTTTGAGTGTAGCTTGAAGAAAATCTCTATGTGCCCATATCAGTCGTAAACAAACAGTTAATTTTCTTTAATTTCTGTTCTGATTTTTTTTTCCCCCCAGAAGGACCAAAACAATGAATGCCAATTATGTGCATACTGAATTTACTGGAATTTGGGAAAGGAAAATAAAGAACTGCTTGAGTGCAAAAACTGTTATGTGTTACTATATGAATACACCATAATTAAGGAAAAAAAAAAGTAGTACATGCAGACAGAGAGATAGTTAGCATTGGTTTTGAGTCAGCTAAAAACATGCTAAAAAGTTCAGTAGTCACTAACTTTCATTTCTTTTTGTCATGCAGTCCTGTTGGGTACTTCATTCATTCAGTGCTTTGAAATTTCACAATGAGCTAAACTTGAGGAATGCAGTAGAGTTGGCAAAGAAGAGCCTGATTGATGATAAGGAAATGCCTGTCAAAGTAGAAGCAGCTATAGCTCTTCAGACGTTAATAAGCAACCAAGAGCAAGGTATGCCACACTGATTCATCAATTGTATACACTGATTGTATTTTATTTTTTTTGTGGAGATGAGGAGGTTGGTGCAGATTTATCTAAACATTTCTACCATTTAAAGACATAGATTTTTGGAACATTTCATCATGTTTAGAGAGCTTCATTTGCTCATTAGTTACTATATACATCCCAGAATTCTGACAGCTCTCTGCACAAAGGAAGTTAGAATCCATATATTTCTTTTAATAAAGTAAATAGCACCTGTCTTTGTTTTTCTTTAGTGAAGTGAAATAGTGTGTATGTTTAAGAATGAATGTTGCCTATGTAGGAGGGCATGTATTCCCCCAGAACAGTGGATTTTTGTTGTAGATGATGTTTCAGTACTGAATGTGGTAAATGTACAACTCATTTACTTTGTTAGTCTACTAGTTATGGGCTGTAAAAGTGCCTTGGGTAGGTTTTTTGGTTTATTTGGTGGTTTGGTTTTTTTTTGCAAATTAAACTTTAAAAAATTATTTTGTTCAAGAGTAGTCAGTTACCTAGTAGTTTTGAGGTACTGTGTAATTCTGTTTACAGGTAGTTGTTTTCACCTAATTTCAATTGTTTTTTTAGCCAAGGAATATGTGAAGCCTTATGTAAGGCCAGTTATGCAAGAGCTCTTGCATATTGTTAGAGAGACGGAAAACGATGATCTTACTAACGTAATCCAGAAGATGATCTGTGAGTACAGTCAGGAAGTTGCTACCATCGCCGTTGACATGACTCAACACCTGGTAAGGGACAGTAGTAAAGTAACAGTCCAGTCAGAAGTACATGCCTAGTTCAGTAAACATTTAAGGAACTTTGAAGCGCACGCTGTTCAAAGTAATCTTTATAAAGGTCCACCTATAGTATTCACAATATTATTTTTTTCTTTATGAAGCATCTTTAAAACTTGTAGGTTTTTCAAAGATAGTGAATTTTGTTACTGGTTTTAATGAGCCAAGCTCTTACTATTTAACATTTAAAATTACTTAACATAGCCAGACTTCTCAAAAAAAGAGGAGTTTTTAATTTTCTATATTCCCCTTTGAAAAACAAGGAGCATATTTTTCAATGCTGACAGCTCTTACAGATAAGGCGTTGCTGCTGTTGCATTAGCTGTCTTGGTTATGCATGACAAATTAGAAATGTGAGTTTGCTCTTGAGTGTCAAGTTGGTGTTTTTCACAGGCTGAAATATTTGGTAAAGTACTTCAGAGTGAGGAATATGAGGAAGTAGAGGACAAAACAGTTATGGCCATGGGCATCTTGCACACAATTGACACTATCCTGACAGTTGTGGAAGATCACAAGGAGGTGAGATTTTCTTTCATATGTCTTTTCTCCTGCTGTTCCCTCATGTCTTCCATTCATGACAACAAGCACATATGTGTTTGTTGCATCGCTTGAGTTGACATGAATGTGCATTTACTATAGTAGGATGGTGAATTAGTACCAAGTGATCTCTGACAAATTTGAATTTGAAGCCCGGTTTACTTTTGTGATTTCTTAATTGTTTAGCTCTCAACCTTGATGGGAATTTATATCCTGAGGATAAAATCCTTAGCCCTTATTCTGGTAAACACTTCATCGGGTAATTGTATTACAGACTGTTAAAATACATTTTAGGGAGAAATACTTTGTATAAGGCTGATTTTTTTTACAATGGTGACTCATATTTTGTTGTTTACCCAGCCATTCCTTGGATAGAATTCCTAAGAATTGGTCTCCTAGTTGTGGTGCAATCTAAGTCTACATTTCACATATTCAGGGAAGAAAGAGATTCTTTCTGCTCATACCACCTGGTCTGACTGAGGTAGGAAGGAGTTCAGTGACTGACCAGAGAGACAAAGTCAGTCAGTAACTTTAAGCTCAGTTGGCATTAAAGTGCTTTGTCCTAGATTGTTTTGCTTCCTTGATTTACAATGAAAAAGTTTCATTGCAAGCGTGAAATCTTTTTATGAAGCTTATAATTTAAAAATATATTAATTAAAATACTAATTATTTTCTTGTAAGACCATTGTGTTCCTTTGAATTTCAAAACATCTTTCGTTCCTTTGCAAGAACCCCTTGCATCTGTTGAAAGCTAAAATGAAATCTGGTAGCTAAGCTGAGAATCAGGAATGATAGTCTGAAGTGGATCTTCAGGTTTTAGCCTAGGAAAACCTTTGGGGTTGAGGTATTTTTGGTATAAACTTAGCAACTTGTTTTTCTGTTGTGTGAAGCACAAACTAAAATATTGTGCAGAGTGCTCTTCATCTCAGGATCTTAAATCATTTTAGAAGTGATATAAATGATATAGAAATGATACATGAGGCTGAAAACTCTTTAGAAATTCCTTTCCCTTTCATCCATCATTAAGTATGGAGAGAGTCTAGGGGATGATGACTTTTGAGTCAAGTGTCTGAAGGTAAGTGGATGAATCTGTGATCACATACTTAATCCCTTTGCTAGAACAAGCCCAGAAAGCCTGACATCCTGCAAGATTATGTCTGCAATGAGTGACCTGTGGTAATAACATGGAATGTCTGTATTTGCTGGTTTTAATTAGACTTATAATGTGGCAGTATAGTTCTCCTTGTAATTTAGTTTAATTCGTAAATGTAGTCTCTGTCCAACATGGCAAGGCTGAATCCCAACTTCAACACAGTTGTGTGCTCCCAGTTTTTGCATGTGTTCCTCTTGCTGAGCCTACTCTGGGAAGTTCTCCGTAGACCGGAGGCAAAAGCATCTCTTCTGTTCTTCCTTTTAACCCCTTCTACTTCAGAATAGAGGCTTTATCTCAAAAACTGAGTACAGTGTTACTTTATATCCAGACAGGACAACAAATACAGTTTTTGATAGGATCTGTAGAATAACCATAAAATAAGATTTTATTTAAAATAAAGAAAAATGCTGTGACAAGTTTTAAAGCAATACTGTTTATTGAAAGTTTGAGTACTTCCATCAGTGAGACCTTATTTCATAATGTTGTGATCATTAATGCAGCATTTAAAAAGTGATAAAAGCCATTTTACTTTGAAGAACTTCTCAAGCTGAGTTAGTCAAATACATTGATTGAATTTCTGTATTTCTAAGTTTTTAAATAAACTGCTTTATGTTTTTATTTCAGATAACTCAACAGCTCGAGAGCATTTGTTTACAGATCATTGGCCTCGTTTTGCAGAAACACGTTATAGGTATGTTTTAGAGATAATTTTTAGAAAAACATTACATGTTTTTACATTAAAAAATCTTAATTATTGCAAACAATACTATCTTCCTGAACAGAACTTCATCTTTTTTGTGTGTGTGCTTCTTTAAAGAAAAAATTATGTTAATTTTCAGTTATGATTTGTTTCTTCTGATCTCTTCTTGTTCATTAGTCAGGCTGGTTATTGTGTTTTGGAGGTCAGACTCACAAGCAGAATGTGCAGTTCTGATTGTAGTTCTAGCTAGCTGTGTTAAAGGACAACTACTACAATTACATTAGTATTTTATGGACATGGTCTGCGATTAAATTACTGCTTTATCAGTACCCTGCACTAAAGAGCTACACAGATTTGTGATAAGGCCCTGAAGAGTAAACAAAGCTTGAGAAAATAAAAATATTTTTCAGTAAATCATTTAGAAGCGATGTCTTTGATGTGCTGGTAATATATTTTTTTGTTGTGTATTTATGATGAAAAACTATGCATATTGTTCTAACTATAGCCAGCATAAGGCCTATCTAAAAGAATCTTTTCCAGTTTGTATTATTTTTCTACGTATTGGTTTAGTTACTACTTACTGTCTTCTAGTTGTTATATGACTCGGGGCTTGGTTTCAGATTTCAAGGTATTTGCAAGCTAAATTTATTTTTAAAAGCACCCTATTTCAAATTGTTTCTCATTTCCAGAGTTTTACGAAGAAATTCTCTCCTTGGCCTACAGCTTGACATGCCAGATGATTTCACCTCAAATGTGGCAGCTTTTAGGTGTTTTATATGAAGTGTTCCAGCAGGATTGCTTTGAGTACTTTGCAGGTATCATCACTTCTGTTCTATTGATGTTTCCACTGTTTGGGAATTCATCTCTAAAAGCCACCTTAATAAGGGTCGCTTCCATTTAGTGGCTTGGTTTAAAATGATCATGTATTTGAGTCATGCTTTGACCGTCTGTTTAGTGTGGGAGTATAACAGGAGCATATTTAAGTAGGAGAAGCATGTTCAAATCTGTCAGTGTGATCAGTTATTGTAGGAGGTCCTGAACTCAAAGAAAGCTGAAATACACAAAGTTAATGTGAAAATACAAATTAATTAATTAAAATGTAGTCTTATTCTATTTTCTCTTCTGAGAATGCACCCTGCATGGTGCACTTTATGAAGAATTCTGCTAGAATAGACTTTGCAGAGTTTGAATTTCCAACAGTATCCAAGAATCTGAGCTAATTAATTCCATTACAGGACTACAGCATCACTGATTAGCACTTATGTGGATTAGTTTGTAATTTTTTTCTCTTTCACTCTCCCTGTTCTGCAGATATGATGCCTCTCTTGCATAATTATGTGACCATTGACACTGATACTTTACTGTCTAACCCAAAGCATTTAGAAATTATTTACGCCATGTGTAAAAAGGTAAGGCTTCTGATTCTTACTGTTGCGCTTGTCACTGGTACTTAACAGTCAGATTAGCGGAGTGACCAGGTGGTGGCCAGTTATTTCAGAATTAAATGAAACTTGGTCTCGGCTCAGTTCCGAGTACACATAGCACCTTCACACTTTTTAAAGTGATATGCTTTTCAAAAAATTACATGCACAAATCTGTGTGGGAGAAAGTTGTTGTTCGTCTTGACTCTCTTCTATGAACAGCTATTTTGGTAAGTAGAGGAATTAATGAAGCCTGATTTCCTTGGGTTGTGTATCTTGCGATTGGATTCTCTAGTTGTCAGCTAACGTGCAAGCTCATTTGAAGTTCTTCCTACATTTATAATGTTTCTCTTTTATGCTGATTCTCTCATGTATAATAAAGTGTGAGATCACACTGCAATCTTTCTCTGATTTGGGGCAATATAGAGAGTTAGGCATCCAGCTACCTGCTTATTTTTAAGAAACTTATAGAGATTGAATGTATTTGGGAATTCTGCATCTTTGTCAGGTTTGATTGACACTGACTATAGGGTTAAAACGTGCTGAGCAGCAGTCAGTTTCACATATATGCGCATATACATAGAGTGATTGCATACATCTGTTTTGAATCAGAAACTAGCCCAGAGATAGGACTTCACTTTGCCTCACTGTTAATCTGCCAGTGTCTGTTAGAACTGAGGTAAAAAAATGGAAACAGAATGTGGAAAACATCAATGATTCTTATAAGTAACATTTCCTTTAAAAAAGGGGGAAGCAGTGACATATAAAGAATACTAACATTCATAAAGAACGATAGCACTGTCTTCCACATTTTTAAATTAATCTTTAAACACTTATCCTTGTTTATGTCCTGTAGAGGTGATTTTTAATGTGTCTTAATTCCTTACAAAATATAGCATGAATAGATGTATATATGCCATGTAGAGGTTTTTTGATGTATGCAGGTACAGGAGCACTTCCTTTCAAAGCTGTCAGTGATGAATGCTGATAAACTACATTGTCATTCTGGTTGTTAGGTATTAACAGGAGATGCAGGAGAAGATGCAGAGTGCCATGCAGCCAAACTCCTAGAAGTAATTGTTCTTCAATGCAAAGGACGGGGTATTGACCAGGTGATACATATTGAACAGGTTTTCTATTTTACTGGTTTCCAATGACAAGTGTATGATTCCTGCGAAAAGCAGTTGGAAATAGAGAATTTGAGGGAAATGTAAAGTGTAGGAATGGAGAGAAATACAGAAAGAAGTAAATGAGCTCAGGAGAGTTTTATGGTTGAGGTTTGGGGGTTTGGTGGGGTTTTTTTGAGATTAGCAGGCATGACGGGAAAATGTATATAGACTGAACAGTAAGGGTATCATATAATGTGCAGGATTGTCTTTTTTTTGCTTTCTCCTAATCGAATTTCCCTTTTGATGCAAAACACATATTGTTAAAACTATTGTGGCTGAGAGGTTAACTATACATATCCAACTACTGAAGCTGTTTCTTCAAGCAGTATGAACTTTGTTCTTTTCAATATTTTGAACTGCTCAGTGCATCTGGAAATGAAGAATTTTTGGTGTGGCTGGATTGTAATTGCTGGGAAAAACATTATCACAATTTTCCAAAGTTTCTTAGAACACACTTTTAGATAGTAGTCTTTTTCCTATTAAGGGCTAAATTCTAATGGTCTTCTGTTTTACATAGCGCTCCAGCTTAATTTACTTTAACATATAATGTTTGATGTTGCCACAGTGCAATCCATGGACTTCAGTGATAAATTTTCAGTTAATTTCACTGAAACTAATACAACTTTACTAATGTAAGTCTGAAGTAATTGAAGATAAAAATGTTCCCCAAAAGATTTTGTTTTTTTAAAGAAATCTGGAAGAGATTAAAGAGAATTGTATGCATTTGCATTGAAATAAGTTTGTGGTGGAAGGCTTAATTGTGCTCCACGACTCTGTGAATTAAAATGGTTGCACACTGAACTGAAACTCATAAACTAAAACATTCCTAATGCTCCCCAAATAATTATAAAGCATAAACCTGCACATTGAAATATATGTAGATGTTTATTTCATTGTGTAGAAATTTGTGCATACTTGCTTTTATCTAGATTAACTTTCTCATTTCAAACTTTTGTAAGAAATTTAACATCACTTTACATTTACTAGGAAAAACTTTTATTTTTCTTGCAGATTTAGGTCATTTCATTTTTAATGTCTGTTAGTTTGGAAATCCTTGAATATCTTTATTCAAAGATGAGAATGTCTTTAAGTTCTTTTCTAAATCTTTATACACGCTAGAACAAATTCCACCAAATGGCCCCAAATATTCTCCTCCGTGTAGAGAATAACATTGGCAATTTTTAGCTCAGAGAATAGCTGGTTTCAGGAAGATTTATAAGCATGTAATCAGAGGCTTAAAATGCATTTATACTAGGAAGTGAATAGAATGCATTTCTAGGTTATACCTGGACTTCAGTTAACTCTGGAGATCAATTCTGATAAAAGTATTTTAAGATTTGTATCATCTGGCAACATGTGTAATGCCTGTCTGTTGTTGTTTGATTTTGTTTTTTTCCTCCTTTATATTTATATGCCCAGTGTATTCCACTCTTTGTGGAGGCTGTTCTGGAGCGGTTAACTAGAGGAGTTAAAACAAGCGAGCTTCGTACCATGTGTCTTCAGGTTGCCATAGCCGCACTCTACTACAATCCTGACCTACTTCTGCACACCTTAGAGAACATCAGATTTCCACACAATCCTGAGCCCATCACTGCACAGTTCATAAACCAGTGGATGAATGACACAGATTGTTTTCTTGGGCAAGTATTGTGGTTTTTTTCTTTTAAAAGTCCATGGTTTTGATTTTTTTTTGTTCACTTCTGTTTGTGTCCCTAGTCATGTTGACCAGAGAGTTCTTATTCCTTGGTTAGTCTAAATAACAGTAATCCACACCAGGTCTAATTGCTGTGATGCCAGTAAAGGTGACCTGTGTCCATGTAACTTTTCTGAGTCTGTTGAGCTACATGCTGAATTTTCTGTGTTGTGAGGATACAAGGGTACAATACATGATCATATTTCAGAATTCTTTTAAGGGCCTTAATCACAAACTATCTGCTTCTCCAAGAGATGGTCCAGCATGCATTGAGGGAAGTATTCAGAGCTGACCAGCAGGATTTCAGTGAGATGTTAACCTTTTTTCTGAAATGCAGTGTATATGAATTTTCTGTTCTATAATTTATAAAGTATTTTTAACTGCTCCATTTAATGTTGAAAAAGCATTATTCTGTCCAATGAATCCCACATTCTGATTTTAATCCCTGTGAGTTGTTCATGATTAACTTTGCTTATTTATTATTATTATTGTTATTGATGTGCTGGCTGTTTAGCATACTCCTGAACTTAAAATTCATTCCGACCTCCCTTGAACATGTGTGTACACTGCGCTAGTGTGCACTTGGGGAGAAGCTGAGCAGTTGTAAATTAAATGAAGGTGGACACAGCCTGTCATCGCATAGCTAAGCATGCACGTGATGCTGGGCAGATGTGAAGGCCAGTGCTCGATGGTTAGTGCTTGCCTCTCAGCGGAGATGTAGCGACTGACTGTGAGATTCAAATCCACTTAAGGGCAGACAGTCAGATGTAGTTAACAGCTTCCTCTCACCTTCCTGCTACGAATTACCTTTTGTCATTGGAGGCTGACATCTGGCTGCAGATGTACAGATAGGTTTAGAACGTGTCTTCTCTTTGCACAGTCAACAAAGTGAAGTGTCAGCTTGCTAGGAGTCATGCCATGCACAAGCATGGGCCAACGCAGGCAGCTCCTGACCCGTAGATGCAGACCTTATTATAGATTGTCATTCTTCTCCTACCTGTTTTTTATTGGTACAGTCTTGCCTTTCCAATTCTAAACAAGTCTCTGGGGCGCTTCTTATAAGATGGTTTCTCCACTCCCCAGTCATCCAAATAGCTTTTCTCCATACCAATTCTTATTTGAGTTAATCTTTCTTGAACAGAATTATATGCCATCTTGGTATAGCTGCATTATTGCCTCAGTGTCCATCTTGAATTTAGAACTGTGTGGTGCATTATAGCGCTGCGTTACCTTTTTCATAACTGCAATAAAACAGTGACTCCCAGCCCATCAATGACCAACTGGTATATGCGGGTTTTGCTCTCAGCACGTCCTTTGTAGTATTTTTAAAACACATATCAAATGTACAGAGTAAAAATTGTTTTCATCCCTCCTCTGTCCTAAGTACATGGTTTAGTGGGATGAGGATGACAGCGCAGTAGTTTGCAGCATAGACTACCTTATTTCAGGTCTGCACGTTAATTCTGTCTATTTTACTAGAATGAAAACCACTTGAAGATACCAGAGAAATTGCCTGCTTTGGCATGTCCAGGCTTTGTGCAGGTTCATGTCTGTATTTGCAGGTATGACCATAGCAGTCTCTCCTTGAAGAAAACAAAATTAAAAGTACTAAATTAAATAGATAAAAAGTGGGGAAAAAATTTCTTCTTCATTATAACAAAACTGGACAGTTCATATTATCACAAGCATTCTGACTTCTTGTACCTGCTGTGTATACAAAATGTCTACAGTACTTTCTATATCTTAAATACACATCAATTAGAGGGGTTACTTGAGATGGTGACAAAGAAAGCATAAAGGACCCAATGTCCCTCATTTCTTTTGGAGTGCCAGTGGCTGAAAAAGGGCACCTTTAAGTCTACCTCTCCCACACCTTGTGGTAATAATATTGTTAATTACTAAATTAGTTTTATATCTACTGACTTTAGAGAAGAGCAAGACTTTTTAGGATTTCCATGTACTGATCTTTTTTTTTATGACTGAAGCAAAGTTTTTGAGATTCAGCTCTTTGTGCTGTCACTTTTCCTACTGCATATCAAATACTGAACACATACAGAGACAGTATGAAAGAAGATATTCCCTATAGGTGGTAAACTTGTCATTCCTTTTTAAAAAGAAATAAAAAATGAAAGAGATTTATAGCCTTAAACAGTTCATCCTAGAGCATTCAGTGAGAAACTAGTCAGCTCCAGAGGGGAAGAATGCTGCAGATCTGACTAGGCTCCAACCTCAAGTACTCCTGTGAGCTACAGCTTAACTTTCAGGTCTTTTGTGTTGCTTTTCAAAAAGTATCAGCTACTGCAACTACTGTTCCACTAAATTCTTCAGAGCTGAGGAAAAAGTTGACAAAGCCTATGAAAATGAAACATGAGATCATGATGCTCCATTCTGCTCAGACTCTGCACTTGAACAGCAACAGATTAAAATGTATCTCTTTGATCTGCTGCTACCAGCAGTGAAATAAATATCTGTAATATTGCTTAAATCTAAAAATCTTTCTTCCTTCAGTGATGCCTCCTCAGTGTGTGGCTTGCAGGTGTAATGTTTTTGCTGTAGTACTGCTTGTCAGGCACTGTGATGTGATGTAAGGGACTTCCTCCCTTTCCCGCAGGACAGCACTGCTTCTAGAAGACCATTGGTTTCAGTAAGGGTAGTAAGGGTCATCATCTGAACAGCAGCCAGATACTCCGAGGCCTAACTGAACAGGAAAAGACACAAATGCAAACAAAATCTGGCTTTCTTGAAACCCTTCTTTGGGTCCACCCCTGCAGACTTCATGTCTTCCTCAGTGAAGACAGCAGTGCAGTCCTTTTTCTCACCAGCTGCTTTGGTTTATAGTTGGGTTGCTTTCCAGGGAGAGGCAGCTTTAGGCTTAAAGTCAAATCAGTGGGAAGACTCACAGATCCTAGAGAAATTGGAGAAGGTCAGAGTAGATCCACCTCCAGGTGTGAAGGACCAGGTGAATCTTACTGCCATGTCTTTGTCAGCCATGCAGGAAATCTATGGCTTACTGGTAACAGTGGCTCTTTAAGATGCTTGATCCGCATAAATCTCACACCCCTCTGTTCTTCTTATGCTCCTGTGAAGTCCTAGTACCTGTGGATCCTGCTCTGCCAGCAGTAGTGTTGTGTGTGTCTGCATGCTCTCAGGCTGGAGCCGATGGTGTTTGCCAAAAGCATGCAGTATTTCTTGAGCAGCACTTGTGAACGCATGAGATGGAATCTGTGAGAATAATACATATTGGAGGTGGTGGTGGGGAAGCAGTTACAGTAAGATAAGTATCTGTTCTTCCATGTTATTAAAAATATGAAAACTATTTAAAACTGATTAGAAATTTGGAATGTTAAAAAATTATCCAGGCAAGGAGATCTCAGAACTCATTGTATAACTACGCATAAATCCAGTATATCATTGTGGATGTTACACATCTGTGGATGTGTGCCCATGATGCCCATGTACCACAGTACATTGTATTTATTTATTTCTAAATATTTTCTACAGTAACTTAAAATTGAATAAGGGCCAGGGACTGAAAAGCCATTTGTAGAAACATTTGTTCCTTACTGCTTTCCACCATTACCCCTGGCAGCCTGAAATTTAGGTGAGACTTCTGCTTGACTTACAGTTATACTAAAAATTCTTCTGTAGAAACTGGGGTGAAAGGAAAATCTAAATAAATAATTTATTTTTTTTTTAGAAGCTGAATGGGGCATTTATTTGATAGGAGTTTAAATAGTTAGAAATCCTATTTTTCTCAGAGTTGTATATAAAATCCCCCACCTTATACAGGAAAACAGAGTTGGTTCCAACTTCGCAACTAGAAGGAAATGGCTAATTATTTGCAGTTTGCCCAGGGACTGGATTGATGTAATAGAAAGCAACTTGATCCTCACATAAAGGAGCACAGCAAACCAGTAAAGGAAAGGCTTAGTGATTTCCTTTTGAAATCATTTCAGCTCAGTTTAAAATACAAAAGATTCTTAGATCTTTTTGTCCTGTATTGGAAGGAAGTGTATTACCAAGAAAAGGTCCTGCAGATTATGAAGACCACACACAGCTTGTTAAAAATAGACTTGCCTAGGAGTTGGGCATTGCACTGCCATGTGTTGCATGTTTAGCACTCCAGGCTTGATACACTCTGGAGGGAGCAAGCAGAGTCTGTGATTGTTAGGGAGGACTATTGTGTGCTGCTGAGCAGGTAAGTACAGATCTCAAAGCACAAAGCCCTAAGGAGAATTGTGTCCAGGCTCCCTCATGCAGACAGAAGGGTGCTGAAATAGAGCCTTGTGATAGCAAAGGAATGGTCCTGAAACCATGCATTGCCATTACGAAAATATGTAAATGACATAAACAAACCACTGTTTTGCTTGTTCACTCCTGTGGGTACTTGATATAGCTGGGGCGTAGCAGAATGCTGAACTTAGGCAAGGCGGATGCTTGTCCTGTTGTTTGTCTCTGCTGGCAGGTGGAAGAAAGAAGTCTCCTTCTGGCTCAAGTTCACTAAAGATGGCTTGATGCCTGGATTTTTGCTGTCCTGCTGGGCCTTCTAATAACATGCATATTCTGAAGACATGTGTTCATTCTTACAACTTCTCTGTTTAGAAGCTTGAAAATGGAGCATGACAAATATGCTGTCTTTTTTTTTTCTATTTGGGCTGCTTCCTAATGATGACTCCTTTTTAAACAGCAGTGCTTGGTTCTTGCACTTTCATTTGCTGCCCAGAAAAGATAATTTACCATGAAGCTAAACCCTAATTACTAAGTTTGTTTTTTGTTTTTTTTTTTTACTTTTTACTATGTTGCATTTTGCAAATGGCATTGTGTAACGGTAGCTTTTTCAAATGTATTATAAAAGGTAGTGCTAAGTGTCATTAACTACTCTGGTGCATGTACACTGAAATTGCTTCACGATACATTTGGGGCTTAAAGAAATTTCATGGCTTCCCAGTGTGAAGATGCGAGGTAGGAATCTTGTGGATAGATTATAGAGCTTTGGTCAAACTTGGATGAAGGTGCTGGCAGAGAGAGGAGGTAGAGAAAGTTCCTTCCTTTTGTACTTGCAGTAAGGACAACTCTCCCCAAAAGCTATGCTTCATTCATAGGTGGCATCATCTTTAGCTAGGATTTTGGTTTTCACAGTGTTGGCATGAGAGCAAATGGCGATGAACTTGTTTTCAACATAAATAAACTGACAGGAGTAAGGGGTTTAATTTCTTTTTGTGAAAGCAGACCTTGTTCCCCTGACTCAGTTTTCTCGGTTGGTTTGTATGCCCTCTTTTGTGCCCCATTCCTTCTGAAAAGAAAGTATTGCAGTTAGCAGTGATGGAATGACGCTCTTTGCCTACTTGCATTTTGGTACATTTTTCAACACGTGTAATGGAGCAGCCAAACCAAACATGACAAAGTGTGTCGTTTGATATGCTAGTTGACTTTGTTTTTCTTGGAAGATCTTCTGTGATCATAATGTTGCTCATGGTCATATATAATTTATTGTTATTGTCAACTACTCTGAGAATGGAGTCACTTCACTAAGCCCTAACAGGACTAATAACATGGGAGGTGTAATGAAATCCCTCCAGATCCCAAGCCTTGTTTAAGTACATGTAAAGTTCAGAAAGCTGTAATACATGATCTTCAAGAATATTATAGTTCAGTAGCAGGTTAGATGGGATCTTTGGTGACCTTTGCTAATCTTTGTAAGCACTTTAAAAATTGTATTTCTTTAGCAATTTTTGAAGTGGTGGATTGAGCTGGCTCTTCCCCTGTAATCTTTATTGCAGTCTGTGGCATACATCTTGTTAGTTTCTTCTCTCTCAGCTTGTATCCTCTTCCTTCCAGAGTAAAACTGATTCAGTAATGGAAGTATCTACCGAGACTCTGGAGGATGGCCATTTTCTGTCAGCTCTGGAGGTTTGCTTGGTTTCTGTAGATCTTACTGAAGCTTCTTGCTGGAAGCTGTGCTGCAGAAGGCTTGCACAGAAGCTGCCAGCATCAACTTGAACAGTTCAAACAAAACAAGCTCCTCTCAAGCTCTTAATAGCAAAATGCCATAACGTTAGAGAAGAGTTGAATACTGCTGGCATTTGCAGTAAAGGAGAACCAAAGAGTATCTGCAGAGGCAGTAGGAGAATTTTTCCCTGTCTTGTTTGCAAATAACTTCTATTTCTGGAAGTAAAAATCAATTCTTATTTTTAAGAGCATAGGCTCTTACCTAGTTTCCTGGCTATGGTAACATAAAAATCTTTGTGCTACTAATTTCATTTTCTTTCCCTTCAATTATATATCGTTCATTTGTTTTACTTGAGGTCTACTCATTTGCAAGTTCCCTGTTTGAGTGTACTGCCAATTATTCTTGATATGGTGGAATTATTTCCCTGCTTTCACTGGAGTTAGCAATGTGTCTCACGTTAGTGTCAGAAATTGGGTGTATAATACAGCCATTCTGATGGACTCTTAAATACAGCTAGCCCTGTGGCACTCCATAAAAGCACCCTACAATTCAGTGCATTCCT